AGCAACTGCCATGTGATTGGTTGATTAGATAATTGCATTAATGAGAAATTGAACAGGTGTTCCTAATAATCCTTTAGGTGAGTGTATACAGGCCTCTTATTAACCACTCCGATCCCCAGGGTTCAGTCTGCAATCCGTTATTTTGGTTGTCATATGATAATATTTCGGCTTTTAATTATGACCAACGAAGCTCAAAATTTCTGAAAGTTTCAAAGAAGAGGTTCATTGTTTTGTCTGATACGCTGAATTATATGGCTGATATGGAGCAAGTTAAGCAAAAGGAGCGAAACGGTCTGAAATTCTGGAGTTCAAGACCCCGAACAGCTCAGTATAAAACTATATAAACAATTACACCGTTATTATATGTTTATTATAAGACATCCATTATGTAGGCTATTGAACGCAAATTCTTACCGTTCATGCAATTTTTACTGGCACGTTGCTCTCAACCACTTTGTGAATTGGTTTTACGAAAAAACTCTTAGTTAAAAACTTTTAGTGCGATTTAGGGATACTCTACCTTAGTGGTAAGATAAAATGATTTGTAAACGCGGGCCCAGATTTCGGCCATTTGAGGTTAATGGGTCTTTCTGTATTAAGATAAGCCAAGACAAGACTTTGTGGATTCCACAACGGGGAAATTTATTTGTTAGCGTATAGATAAAAAAAAGCATTAGAAAAAAAACTGACCAAATAGAAATAACAAAAATTAGCGCACACAATTACATATATTGGACAGATGGATGACCCAAATACAGGTACGGATATTGCACTGAGTGATATAAATATACAAGTTACATATATGCAGTGAACATACGTTACATATATATGATAATTGATTATATAAGCTCTTTCACAACAGATTAACTCGAGCCAATGGTGATGAAATCCCAGCCGTGAAATGTATGATATTTTCCATGAATGTACATTGCATTGACACTAGTTGACCATGACTCGCCCTTAAAAAACCGAGTAAAACCCTTTAAACTGGTCTAACTCGGCTTTTTATGCGGTGAAGGATTATTCTGAAAAACCTGACCGTCTCCGAATAATTTTTTTCCCATGATCCTTTTGTTAAATGCGGTAGGTAGAAAATGCTGTCGGCGCCATAAAAAAAAGTTTGAAATTACGGTTGGTCAGCATTATTTCTACCATTTTTCTGTGTCGTCTCCCATCGCTCTGTTACTGCGGGGACGCCGCCTTTTCATAATCTGCATAATTTATTCATTTGAGGAAATCCGAAGCACTGTTGCTCCTTTTAGCTTTCCCGATCGTTCTTTAGAGCTTTAGAGGACACTGTTTAATTACATTGTAACCGCTGACCCCATAGTCCTTTACTGCAACCTAAGAATCAATTGACATGTTTATACCCACCGTGAGTCTCCTTTCTGTCACACGTGGGGGGCTTATAAGCGCACTGACTTACGCCATTTGCGTAGGCATTCTGAAAACCTGCTCACTAGGCTACATGCAGAGGACCTGGTTTCTCATCTGTGCCTAGGGGAAAGTCCCCGGACGCGTGGCAGAAAGTGCCCGGCGTGATCGCCCGCGATGGTTCGCGCGTCACCGCTTTCAGGGCCGAGACGCTCCGCTTAGAGCCGAGCCCGGTGACAGCGAAGCTACTTTGTCAGTGCAATAGTAACGCAGGTAATGTCTGTTCATCAACAGAACGGGGCTCATTCCCAGAATGCCGCTTTTACTGCTGACAACTGCTAACAAATATCAAACTGTCTATTTCTCACGTGAGAACACGCTGCCAGTTCGGCTCTGTTTTCTCGAACTTCGTATACATTCACCACATTTATTGTTAAAGCTAACAATAATGTTGGGGGTCCTAGGGGGAGCATATAACGGACACGGGTACAACGAGTGCGCTGTGCCTTTAAGAGAGTAGCGCACATTAACTTTGACCCATGGGGCTCCGGTCGGCTCAAAACCCCGGGAAACGCGAACATGCAGTGGGTGACCTTATAAGGAAAACATCCGTACATGCGCACCAAGGACGTTTTTTGTTTGAAGCAGTCGCAGTCGTTGTGGCGGATTGGGGCTACATAGAAGGCAGTAGCGCGAGTCAGGTTGTAAGGGATCCTAAGGACTAGTTACCAGAGTTCCCAAATGCTTGTGTGGTAAAAATTTCCGGTTCTTCTCTTGCATGTACGGCTGGGCTGTTTAATGCACCGGGATCACGATGTTGGGACACTATCCAAACGTGGAAAAGACACAACTGCTCAGCTATGTGGAGGACTACCTTGAGTGTGTGGAGTCCCTGCCATTGGACATTCAAAGGAATGTTTCAATCTTGCGAGAGATCGACTCAAAGTATCAAGGTATGCGAACAGATCTGCTGGCCCTTCCGCGTACCACGGGGGATTGGAAACGAAAATCGGCCGCGGCCGAACTCATTTCATGCGTATGTGTGTTTTACCGCAGTGTATCTGTCAGTGTTGGGGCGGAATGAGTTAGTAGTTTAATGCCAATGGTTATGGATTCAATAATAAGCCTCTATAATCATTCCCGGGTGTAAACGCGTTTTCAATGTGCATCTTAAAGTATTAATTTGCAGTTTTCTGAAGTCAGGGCAGGCGTTAAGGATTAGTCGTTTTGGTGAGTGATTAAAATTTCGCCGATGTCCTCTGAATGGCTGGTCGACTGGTCGCCTCGTTTTTCCTACTGTATCTCGGTGACGTTTTTTCAGCATATCATGGCAAGGAATTTTTAATTAACCTTGTATAATGTTGCCCGGTTAGTGGTTTCTGTTGGTCCATTTTAAGCTGAGACTGGTCTTTGTCCGAAGCACCGTTTTGTTGAAACTTCCCTTCCTTGTCGTGTCGAACATGCGAAGTATTTTTTAAGCGCAGTGAAAATGGGTGTAACAGTATCGTTTTTTCTGGCCTTGGCTCTTTCACCGCGGAGGAGAAAACGGTGGGTGTGGGTCAAAAAGTGAGCAGTAAAAGTTGTCATATTGGCCGAGGGACAGGTTAATGACCTAAGAGCGGTACTGCTCTACGGCCACTGTGAAAACACCCGATACCCATTCTGCACATGGATTTTATTCGCTTTAACGCTGCGACGCAAGACGCCTAAATATAAACGTACTGTCGGGCCGGAAGTAGTTGTGTCGTCCCTTCCGGGGCGGGATCCCGGAAGTGGTGTGACAGCTGACGCTTTAAGGACTTGTGCCAAGACGTGCTTGTGGGTATATTGGGGTTCTGCGTGCATCTTAGGGTTTATCTGTTAGATGTGTGTATGGTGCACGCACTGTGCCGTTTCTTCTGCGGTGTGCGCATTGTACTTCGCCCAACCACATCCGGTCATCATTCCCACTCGACCTTCGAGAAACGCTTCAACACACTGTTCCAGGAATACTTCTACTAGTTTATACCATTACATGTTCTCTGAATGTCCGTAATGTTTAACTTTCTGCTTATTTGAAAAGTAGACGTATCAGGTTCTTGTTTATTTGGAAGATGTCGTGTGACACTTGCTATGCCTAGTCGACTCTGTGGCAGCCGTATGTTTGTAATGTGCTGGTTGTCTTAACTTATACGCCACTTTTTTTGAAAAAAAATTTATTGCAGATTTTAATGTAATGTAGTTTAAGATTATTAGTTTTGATTTTAGCTGGAGTTTTAAAAAAGGAAAGAAAAACAACCAGTGTGGTTTGCCCTTGACATGTCCTGATTTTTTTTTAAAGCTGTAATTCCCATTAATATTTCATGTTGCTCTTTCTCTGACCCCATTCTCATCCTGTAGAGGTGCTGAAAGAGTTGGACGATGTGTATGAGAAGTACAAGAAAGAGTCAGATGGGGCCCAGAGGCGTCGCCTGCAGAACCAGCTGCAGCGTGCCCTCATCTGCAGCCAGGAGCTGGGTGACGAGAAGATACATGTGGTGACGCAGATGATGGAGCTGGTGGAGAACCGAGCGCGCCAGATGGACTCCCACGTGCACTGCTTTCAGGAGCCGGCCGAGGCGGAGCGAACCAGTGAACGGCTCCGGCAGGAGGCTGTGGCCCCCGAACGGTCATCGGCACGGCGGCCCCGGCGCCAGCGGCACAGCGAGAGCCGCGACTCCTGCCACGCAGCCAACGGTGTAGACGAGCCCGGCAAGGAACCGTCTCCCCCTCCACCACCGCCTCCGCCGCCACCGCCTGTCCGAGAGAAGCGGTCCAAGTCGGCTAAGAAGAAGAAGCGTTCTCGCGCCAAGCAGGAGCGTGAAGCCTCTCCGGCGGAGTATGCCATTGACCCCAACGAGCCCACCTACTGCCTGTGCGACCAGGTCTCCTATGGCGAGATGATTGGCTGCGACAATGAACAGTGCCCCATTGAGTGGTTCCACTTCTCCTGTGTTGGACTCACCTACAAGCCGAAAGGGAAGTGGTACTGCCCAAAGTGTAGGGGAGACAGTGAAAAAACGATGGAGAGGAGTCTTGAAAAACCCAAGAAGGATCGAAGGTCGAGGTAGTGATTTCTGCTGCTCTGTTTTTTTTTATTTTTATTTTATTTTTTTATGTGTCCAGTAGTTCTTTGGCTTTTGAAACAATCTTATGGGAAAGGTACACGTCTGAAATACTTTGTGGACTGCCTCTGGAACATGATGGAGGATGTGACTGTGAATCTCTCTCTGGCTGCACTCAACCTAAAGACTGAAAATTTTGTGTACTGAAGAAGCACTAAAATTGTCATGTCCATTGAAACAGAACTTGCAGATGGTCAGACTACCTATTTCACCTTTGGGAAACCCATAGGTGATTTCAGAAATGCTGCCTAACACTATAATATTTTGTCAAATGTAAACAAATAACAAATGTCTCTGGATGGCATGTTCGGGGTCTCCCTAACTACAATGTGAAACCAGAAGGGTCAAAGGTCTGTCCGTCTGTCTCTCTGGGTGCCCTCCTCATGTAATGAGAAGTGAAACTTTCCCTCTTCATTGCTGTCTTGAGTGGATCTTCATATTGGTTGCATTGGCACATTAGAAGGATTATGAATGTGATTTCTCTAATTGTGTTGAAGATAGAAAATGCTCTGGTTGACTGGGATCTCTGTCTTCTAAGAGGTAGTCGCCAGAACTTTTCAGCTTTGTTTACTGTCGTAAACTTTTTGGGCGTCCAGGCCTCTGCTACATTCTGTGTCTGGGGACAGTTTGCATGTTCTCCCTGTGTCGTGTAGATTGCCTCCCGCAGTCAGGACACACAGGTAGGCTAACTGGCATGCCTATATTGCCCGAACTGTGTCATTGTCCTTGTGTAAGCCGTGTGATGAGTGGGCATCCTGCCTTGAGTGTTATCCTGACCAGGGTGAGCAGATGGATGGATGGGACCACCAAATGCAGAATCTGGATTAGATTCTGCCCCCGATGCCTCCAGTGATGTTAATTTCATATGTGGTTGGAAATTCTCCTGTAATAAGCAATGTTTTATTCTCTCTTTTATAAACATTAAAAGTAAAATCTGTGTCCCCAACAAATGTTAGTCTTCCTGTTACTGCATCAGCTGCACCTGTGTGAAGTAAAACGGAGACCCCACCCCCCACCCCTCCTCATGGGGTGCGAGGGTTTTGTGCGGGAGGTAGGTCATCTGCGGGGGGGGGGGTGAGCAAGCGAGCTGCATTTATGTGCACACACTGCAAACTGACAAAAAGCTAAATTAAATGTAATAACCACTAAGAAATCATGCACCTTTATCGGTAATCCAAGAGATCTTCACACACATTGCTGTGCCACAGCCGCGATAGTTGACTGGTCTCCTCTGAACTTGTGTATGTGTGTCTGATGTTCAACAAAAACGGAAGGAACAGAGGTTAGTCTAAAGTGACAAAAGGGTATTTAGCTTTTTTGGTAATCATTTATTTTTGTTTTATTCTGTTAATCATTTCTGCACTCAGCTCATTGGTAAGTTATTGCAAGTTATTCATCGTCGGATTTTCTTTTATTGAAAAGGTGGTCTGATATTTTCTTGATTAGACATTTATAACTAGATCTCTCGGCAGCAGAAATAAACTGTGACCCCCGATGTCTCTCATCTCTTCGGAGTTCAAATTGTAGTTCAATAATTTAGTCTGAGATCAATTGGGAACTGAAAGGGCAGTTAAATTTGTATCTCTGTTCAGTTAAATGTCTGTATTAAGCGGAGAACCTGAAGTGAACCTGCGTCCACATGTCAGAAGTGGCATGCCAAAGGTGGGGTGTTCATTTAAATGACTGCTTCACACACATCAACAGTGTTACTCATCGCTATCCACCTATTTTCTACACCTGCTAATCCTACACAGGATCACAGATAGGGACGTACCTAAAAATTACGGGCCCCCTGACAAAATGTCACCTTGCCCCCCACCCAATTTAATATATTGTTTGGCCCCCTAAATCTGCCAGGGCATCCGTGCCCCTCCAGTGCCCCTGCTCGCGGGCATCCGGAACATTTCACAAAGCAACAGTCACAAGGCACGCGGTAACCCAGGATGGAAAGCTAACCCAACGGGGAGAAATATATTCGTTTTTGCTTACGGTTATTTTATTGGACATGACAGGTATTCTAGAAAAAGTAATGCAGTGAGATTTGTAAAAACGTAATAAACTTTATTTTTCGGTGAAAATAATTGTGTACGTACATGATGATTTTGTGTTCGTCAAAATGATATTTTCATGTACTTTTCATGTAAAATGTAGAGATGGAGACTGGGTCGAAAATATTAATAAATATTGACGAACGGTTTTGTTTAGTGCCATACACTGCTGTGATTGAAATATTCTGATGTAAAGGGTCTATTTATAATTAGAATTTACGTTTTCATTACTTTTATTTCGCAGTCCAGGGTAAGCGGCTGGAAGATGGATGATTGATGACGTTTGACGTCACCCCCTTCGTGCGCGTGCGTATGACGCTGTCTTCCGGGCTCTCCCTGTCGATGTGCTGATTGGAGGGCCCTAAAGCTACCGTAGCCCGATTGGCTCAGAGCGCTGTCAATCTTTGTCTCGTGTTTTTCCTGTTCCGGGAACTTACTAGGGAGGGGAAATAGCACAACTATTCATAAGGAAAGTCAGTTGTTGATGTAAATGCATTAGGTGGCTGCGGGGGACTTATTTTGGATAGCTCATTCGGTATGTGCACGATTTCTTTTAAATAAGGTTACTATTTAGGAAATGATGTACGGTCGTTTGGTGTGTGCATTGACAGGCTTTTTGGTAGTCATGTTATGACCGATATTGTTTTAAAGAGAATACGCCCCAAAAAACACATTTACCGATTCTCTTGAACTTTATCAGTGTTTTAATACACATGTCTGTAAAGGATGAAATGCATACTTTGGCCTAAACGTGACTGTCAGTGGCGGCCACACGAATTTCATGCTGAACATCGTACCGACGATCAAAGCAGTAATTATTAAACAGCGGTATTAAATGGCGTGCGTTTTCTTTTTCTCGCACGGGCCGTGTTAATTATTATGGATCCACGTTTTAAAGCCCATGCAGTAAATAAAGGTGTTGTGTTTTTTAGAGCTGTTGTATAGCCGAGAAGAAGATGACCCCAACACAGTGGGACCTACCTCCAGAGTTATGCTGCCGGCCCATGGCATTTGTGGCTCTAACTGGACTGGACGTGGTCTACAACGCCGTTCACAGGGCTATCTGGGATGCCTTCTGTGTTAACAGGAGGGCTGACAGGGTGCCCATTTCCTTCAAAGTCCTTCCAGGGGACCACGAGTACCCGAAATGTAGGACCAAGGTGTGGTGCTTTTTTCCCCACCCCGATGTACCTTTCATTACACTATGTGTCGTATGGACATGGGTGTGTGCTCTTCTCATTTCAGAGAACCTCTTATGAGTGGTACATCCCCAAAGGCATCCTGAAGACCAGCTGGATGAACAAGCATTTGAACATGGTCCCAGCGCTGGTGGTGCTGTTTTATGAGCTGGACTGGGATGAGGTTCAGTGGAAGGAGAAGCAGCTGGAGTGTGCTACCAAGGTGGAGATTGTCAGGTAACCTAGCAGCTTCTGCAGGGTCTAGCCAGCAAGGCAGTCTATCTGGCCCACCTGGGCTCAATACTGCCACAGATAGACGTTTGGACTGGTTGTTTCTACAGGACAAGTCTGCAAGGACGGAACACAAAGGTCGCAGTGGTATTAATTCAGAAGAAAACTCCTCTTCCCCCAGGTAGGTGCAGATGGCCGAAGTCTTTTGTCTGCTCTGAAGAATTCTGATGTTTTCGGTTTATAATGCATACAATACCGGTATCTGAAGGCACCTTGCAGGATATCCCATTGCTTAGTATCACCTTATGTCTGTATGGCGTATATACCTTTGTGCATGTATGTTAAGGAGAAGACGTCATGGCCTCAGAGCGGGCAGGTGCTCTCTGTAACGCCTGTGACCTTTCGGGCAAGTTTCTCTTCGTCCTCCCCCACACTGATCACCTCGTGGGCTACATCATCAGGTTAGAGTGACCCCCGCATGACCTCTGGCACCAGCCTACCCACAGGTTCCTGCAATGACTGCTCACGGCTCTTGTGTGATCCCTCACCGCAGGCTGGAGAACGCCTTCTATGAGCACGCTCAGACTTACTACCACAATGAGATACGGAGGGTGAAATCTCATAAGGAGTTCCTCAACAAAACTACCCATCAGGTGGGGGTCCATTTCGGCTTTTGTCAGTGCTGTGGGGCCACATCTGTGAGGCCTTTGTTTCATGCCTCGTCTTCGGGGGCGACTTTCTTGTGTGTTGCAGTTGCTCTTCGTAAGACACCAGTTTAAGATCGCTTTCTTCAGTGAGCTGAAGCAGGACACTCAAAACGCATTGAAGTAAGACCTCCAGTAACTACTCTCCAGTGTTTTTAGTGTACACATGCATGTTTCTGGTCATGGCTCCATTTATGTATCACACAATGAGAGCCGAACTAATTAATTCTATTGAATGCGTTTGTTGTGTGATATTTATACCCAAATTAAATAGAGACTGATCCAAGTTTCAAATCAAGTTGAAAGGAGATGAAGTCATGCCGTCATTAGCAAGCTCCCCTTAACCGTTTTAAGACGCTCTGTCCCTGTGACGTAGGCACTACAAGTCAGCTTACGGCCTTGTGCATGAGCTGCGAGCCCATGAGACCAACATCCTGGAGATCAAGACACTGGCTGGATTCATCAACTACAAGGTGACCAGAGTTCATGGCTAAGCTGTCAACTGTTGTGCATTGAACTATTCAGGACATAACTGAGAGGATGTAACTTGTCAGCTGACTGATTTTAATTGTAATTAAGGGAAATGCCCCCTTCTCTTCTCCAGGAAGATTAAAGATGACGATGATGATGGTGGTGGTGGTGTTTATAGTTGGGGTCCTTTTCTTCCAGATCTGCCGGCTCTGCTTCCAGCACAACACACCCTTGGATGCCATCGCTCAGTTTAGGAAGCACATCGACCTGTGCAAGAAGAAGATCGGCAGCGCTGAGTTAGCGTTCGAGCACGCGGCCTGGATGTCCAAGCAGTAAGGGCGGCTCAGAAATACACCGTTCATGTTACTCTGCACCCTGACGGTGCTTCCTGTTCCAAAGCATGTGGCAGTGTTTCTAACCAATAGGATCAAATGTATAAAGCATGTGGCAGTGTTTCTAACCAATAGGAACAAACTTGTAAACATAAAAGTGCTTCGGATTGGCTGTCCCACCCCCAGGTTCCAGTCCTTTGGCGACCTCTTCGACGAGGCTATCAAGCTGGGCCTGACCGCCATCCAGACCCAGAACCCAGGCTTCTACTACCAGCAGGCGGCGCACTACGCCCAGGAGCGCAAGCGGCAGGCGGTGCAGCTCTGTGGCAGCCCGGAGGTGGGGGTCTGAGCATAGCTGAAGATCCTCCCGTAATGGTTGACTGAGCTCATGTGGTTCAGCTGTTATTCACGCAGCTGCGACACGCTACACACTTGATTATTAATGAGTTACTGTGCTATATAGCTGTTGGGGGGAGTCCTGGAGAGTCATTGTCTGGCTGCTCCTCACAGTTGCTGTTTCGTTTCTGTCGCAGCTGAGTACGGGGTGCCCCCCTCCAGACCCCCTGGACACTCCCACTGCCGTCCTTGACTTCTATGGGCAGCGGGCCTGGAGGCAGGGACACCAGAGTGAGTGTTTGCCTGGACCCGCCTCTGCGTGTGGGCATGTGCGCACATGACACCATTAAATATCAGCTCTAATCCCAGTCCCTGTCATTCCAGTTTTACTGTAATCTGCCTGAAGATGATGCCTCTCCTTTGCATGGCATCTCCCAGGTTGTTTGCTGTGTGTGTATCAGAGAGATGCCTCTCTTCCCTCAGCTGAACCCATCTCATGCTACTCACCTTTGTCCTGTGGAGACCTGGTCGTTATTGAACGCCGTTGACCCTTATTCATCGCTCTGTCCAGGTATTGACCCTCCTGACCCGGAGAAGGAGAAGAGAGGCATTCTGGGTCTTCAGGGGAAAGAGAGGGAGGTGCCTCATTCGGTGAGTGCCCTCCTCTTTACATGGAGTAAAAGCTGACACCAGAGGGCGTAGCAGTTAAGGAAAGAGTAGGTTAGAGCTGAAAGGGTTAAAATGTAGGCGTGTAAATAGACACGTGTCTGGGACTGACAAGGGAGTCTCATGGATGTACCCCCCCGCAGCCACGGTACAGAATCTAGCTTTCCTGTTTGACCCGTGTTTGACCCGTGTTTGACCCGTGTTTGACCCGTGTTTGACCCGTGTTTGACCCGTGTTTGACCCGTGTTTGACCCGTGTTATTCCAGGAGCTCATCATCGCCCTGCTCAGCAATGCCGTGGCTCAGTTCAAGAAGTACAAGTGTCCACGCATGAAGGGCCACCTGAGTAAGTCTGTGTCACGCACATGCAGACGCCCCTGCTGACATGTTTCTGCTCAGTGTGTGAGCGGGCAGAGTCTTTCGTGCGGTTGCACGTCAGCATGCAGGCCGTTCCCATAGCCCTGTTCTCACCCTGAATCCACCCATCCCGCAGTGGTGCAGATGGGTGAGGAGTACTACCACACCAAGGACTACGCCAAGGCCCTGAAGTGAGTTGATCTTCCATGAAGGGTGGGGCTTAGGAGCAAATTAACAGCCAAGTGCTGACAGACACTGTCTGCAGCAGGCAGCATGGTGTCTCACCCGTTCCGCATTGGCGTTCACCCGGTTATTGGCACGTGGTTAATGAGCAGGCTGATCTTGGGTCTATTCCTGCTTTGGCTACTGACTGTGTGTCTCTGTGTGTGCTGAGGCTGCTGGACTACGTGATGTGTGACTACCGGACAGAGCGGTGGTGGAACCTACTGACCTCCATCCTCAGCACCGCCCTCCGCTGCTCCTACCTCATGGCCCAGGTGAAGGACTACGTGGCGTACGGCATGGAGCTGGTGGGCAGAGGTATGCTGCTTTGCCACCGGGTTTGCGACCCCTGTGTGACACTCCTACTCCCCAGGTTATAAATATCAGACCCGGTTATCACTGTGATCGTAGCAGCTTTGTGCACAACCTTGATGTCCTTGAGTTTGACCCCTTTCAGTAGATGAGGACTTATCGTATCTCTCCTCTGTGCCCATCCAGCTTCTTCTCTGCCTGAGGACCAGAAATCAAGGATTGAGAAGAACCTGTTCAAGGTTTTGATGGTGAGTGGCTCTTTCTTGTGAAAAATTTGCAAAAATGCCACCTTACTCTGGACAGAGGTGTCCAGTGAACCAAGGGTGTCCTGAAGCCCTTCTAAAGTGCCGTCTGCAGTTTGCTTTCCCATGATGATGATGATGGGGATGATGATGATGGGGATGACGATGACGGGCCCCGCTGACTCCCTCCAGAAAGAGGTGCCAGAGGCGGAGCCGGACTGTGACCCCGCTGCGGTCCGAGCAGCTCACGCACTGTGGAGCGAGCGGGCCGCCCAGGCTGCTGAAGATGAGGTCATGGTGGAGGCGCAGGACTGCGTGCCCTTTGGTGAGTGTCCCCCAATGACTGGTCTGGGCTCCGCCCTTTGGTGCATGTCCTCCAATAACTGGCCTGGGCTCCGCCTCTTTGACGAGGTCACCCGCAGGGTCATGTGGGCATGTCCTGATGGTTTTGCCCCTCCCTCTCTCACAGTGCAGTGCAAGGCCAGGTTTCTCCATCCCAGCTTCCACCTGGACGTCCCCGTGCAGTTGCACATCTTCCTGCGGGCCGATTGCCCCCACCCCGTCCACTTCTCCAAGCTGTGCGTCAGCCTCAGTAACCAGGTGGGTCTCGACCCCACCCCGTACTGATCTCATCCAATAACAGTCCATGAATTTTAATGAGAGTCATGAGAGGAGGCCTTTAAGCGACGCACACCATGTGAACTCTGCCTCTGTCCCAGGACTACAACCAGTACTGCTGTGTGTCTGAGGGCTCCTCTGAGTCGCAGGGTCTGTGTCTGCTGCCTGGACAGACGCACATGTTTGCCTTCAGGTTTGTGGCACGCACTGAGGACGTGGGCAAAAAGATAGAGGTGAGAGGGCGTAGGTCTGGTCACATGATTTGTGTGAAGTCCGGGGCGCCTGCAGTGTCCGTCTTTGAAAGCATGTGTGTGGGCCATTGTCAGATCACAGGCGTGGACCTCATCCTGGGTCGGGAGAGCGAGCGCTGCGTCTTCCTAAACTGGCGGGGTGGAGGGGGCGACACGGCCTCGGCCCACGAGGCGCTGCAGGCCTCCCGGTCCTTCAAGCGACGGGACCGTCTGCCGGAGCAGCAGGTGGACTGGGACACGGTGACCATCCAGGCCAGCACCATGTGAGTCGCCCCGCTGCAGAGGAGCTCGTTTGCTGTGCCGGCCGCTCAGTCAGGGCTGGGAAGTTCTCCGTCAACACAGCAACCCTGTGTCCCCCAGGATCATCTCCCGGGTGCCCAGGATCTCTGTGCAGCTCCTGCACTCGCCCCCAGCCCTGAGCAACGAGATGTACTGCATGACCATCACCATCCAGTCCCTGGAGGACACGGTGGCCCAAGACGTCAAGCTCACAGCCGGGCTCAAACCAGGTCATTGCCTGTTGACCGTGAAATTTCCAATCAGTACCTTTTTATATTCCAAACGTTCAGTGTGTGTATGCGGCCGTGTATGTAAATATAACCCTACCCATTCTGTGACATGCGATCCTGCAGAACATCCGTACAGGCGTGAGAGTCCTTAACGCCACATGGATCTCTCATCCATTTGTCCTCCAGGTCAGGATGCCAACCTCACCCAGACGACCCACGTCACCCTGGATGGCTCGGAGGCGTGTGACGACTCCCATCCCGCCCTGCTTCCTGATATCGACGTCGGCGACCTGCAGCCACAGGAAAAGGTGACCTGTGGGCCAAAGGCACCGCTGGGTCTTAATGCCTGTGTTTCACAAGGCCTCATGTGTATGGCTGCCTTCCGCAGGTGGAGAAGCCGCTGTACATCCGCTGTTCGACCACAGGATCCAGAATCTTCCTAGTCCACGTCGCCTATACCATGAACGCCTGTATAGAGGGCAAAGACATTGTCTGCAAGTGTCACAAAGTGAGTCTGCACCGCCTGTGTGTGTAGGGAGCACCTCGACTCGCAGAACGAAACAAAACGTCAGTTGTGTCTGTGTGCCGCCCATGAGACTGAGAGTGGGAGGCGCCGCGAGCAGCAGATCAAACTAAAATCAGACGAATGTTTGTACAGCTCTCTGTGTCTGTGTGCCGCCTGTGTGCGTGAGAGTAGGAGGTGCGTCGAGGCCGGCGCAAATCGCAATCGACGCTTGCGTACATCTCTGCGTCTGTGTGCCGCCTGTGAGGGTGACATTGGAAGCTGCCTTGAGTTCCAGATTAAACCAAAACAAAACGAATGTTTGTAAAACATTCTTTGTCTGTGTCGCCTGTGTCAGCGCAAGTGGGCGACGCATCGAGTCGAGTTCCAGAGCAAAGCAAAACAAAGCGAATGTTTGTGTACGTTATTCTGTGTCTGGGTTCCGTTCGTAGGAGTGGGAGGCGCCCCGAGTTCCAAATGGAACCAAAACGACACAAATGTTTGTCACATGCCTTGTATAAGTATGATAGTAACGTGGCATGATTGTTACACTTTGCTTCTCTTTGACCCAAGGATGAAACTGTTACCATAGAAACTGTCATTCCATTCGAAGTGGCCGTGAAGTTTATGTCCACAAAGGTCGGTGTCTGCATCTGGCTGTATTAATGTTTACAGTGTTTTATGTTGATGGAGCGCCGTCCTCAATCCTAATCTATCTGTGACCTTGTCACTACGGATGGCGCCCCTGCCCAGTTTGAGCACCTGGACCGCGTGTTCGTGGACGTGCCCTTCCTGCTTATGACCGACATCCTCAGCAGCTCTCCCTGGCCCCTACACCTGCTGAGCAGCCGGCTGCAGCTGGCCCCCTCCATGGCTGCCGTGGACCAGCCCCAGTGCCAGGTGGAGCACGGTAGGTGGAGGCTTATTCTGAGAATGTGCCCACAGCTGAGCTGTTAGCTAAAGAGTTGCTGTTTTATAAAACTGTTTCTAATATGAGGGCGGGACTTATGTTCAGGCCCGGCTTCTGATTGGTGCACAAGACTTCTAGGAGTAGAGCGTGGTTTCTGATAGGCAGTGAGTCAGACTTCTCTTGGGAAGGCGTGGCCCCTTACTGGGCGGTGCTTCTCTTCCCGCTTCCCAGTGGTCCTCCAGACAGGCGAGTCGGCCAGCGAGTGCTTCTGTTTGACATGCCCGCCCGCACCCCATGGCGGCAGCACTGCGGCGTCTGGACAGTACATCATATCCTGGAGAAGGTCAGTGTGTCCTCCAGTGGGGGCTGCGTGCTCGGCCCGTGTGCCCCCCCAAGCCGACGCTCAGCCCTCACTCGGTCTCTCAGCAAACATGGCGATTTCAGTGTATAAACAGTGTGTGTCTCTCTCTACCCTCACAAACTACAGCACTGCATTCTCCACAACTACTGTAAACTACCTGAAATTCACAATGAACTCCCCCCACCCCCCCAGGGATTCTGAGAACGTCCCGGTTGTCAGCTCAGTGATACCCCTGCCGCACGTTGCCCTGGAGACCATCCCTCTGTACATTCATGCTGGTAGGGCCCGTGTGATCACCTACTTCACTGCTGCCACTGTCACCTAACCAGACTCCGGTCTTGCACTCATTGTTATGCATTTAGTAGCTTGACTAACTTTCCAGTGCAGCATGTGATTTCTTGTCTGTTTGTTTAACAGCAACACAACCCAGACCCGTTTGAGCGACGACGGGTCCTTAGAGAGTGGATCACTTTCAAGATCTATGTTTGTGTCTGCGTCTGTGTAGATCTGCCGTCGTTTGGACGCGTGCGGGAGTCTCTTCCGGTCCGGTACCACATCCAGAACCGCACGGGGCTTGTACAGGAGGTGGAGATGTCTGTGGAACCCAGTGACGCCTTCATGTTCTCTGGCCTCAAGCAGGTGAGATGCCCCTGGATCTCGGTGCCCTCACCCGTTTTCCTTCTCCCGCTTCGTTATCTCACTCGGCGTGGGTGTGGCCACCGGCTCCGCCGGCCAATCATGTCCATCCCTGCGGGTTGGCAAGGTCACCGGTCGTTCACCCCCACCTTTATGGTTTGAGATTCTTATTTTGACAACATGTGGCCTCATCTGGCTTTATATTGCCCTGAAAGACCCCCCCCCACCCTACAACCTATATCTGTTTGACGTGAAAACATGCTGGCTCCTGACCCATTGCCCTTCAGGTGCGCTTCCGGATCCTCCCAGGGGAGGAGCAGCAGATGCTGTATAACTTCTACCCGCTGACGGCAGGCTACCAGAGCCTGCCGCTGCTCAGCATCGAGCTACTGCGTCTCCCCAGGCTCAGCACCCAGCTCCTGCAGCGCTTCCTGCCTTCCCGCATCTTCGTCAAGGTAGGCCCGCCCCTCCAGCTCCTCACCTTCCCGAAATGTGCACTCTAACTATCAGGGAGGGGGACAAACCAAGGGCCCTGCGTGCTCCTTGCGGCCTGTCTCGCGCAAGATTCAAAGCTTCGAAACTTTATTGTCACGCACAAACACAATGTATGCAGTTTAAAGCCTGGGGTGATCAGTACTAAATACTCACTTGTTGATCATAACCCCGCCCCCCCCCCAACCCCGACCCCTCTTGCTGTTGCAGCCGCAGGGACGACTTGGCGACGACGCCTCCATCGCTGCTGCTTAGAGAACAGGGCACGTTAGCTGCTCCCAAGCTGGGTGGCATCCCCATGGTAACCAGGGATTTGCAGTCTGTGTTAGACTCACTGCTGAACTCGAGGCTCCTGTACTACTGTGGATTCTGGGCAGTGTGACGCACAAGTGAATGTGCACTTGTGTCTTAGAGGTACATTAAAGCATTATTGTTGGGACATTTTTGTAACTGACTCCTTGGCTCTGCTAGAGTGTTCAAAAATCACATGCATGCTTTTTGAGTAACCTTTAAAAAAAAAAAGCTGAAGAAATGTTTTTATAAATGTAATAACGTATAAAATAGCTACTTGCAGATCCACTCTGAAGTGTGTATGTATGTGATATATGTCAAATAAATACAGGTATACAGATGCAGGCCACCGGCATGTTTCTTCACTACTTGTAGTGTATAGTGACGAGCATTTGTCACCCAAGGGAAAAGAGCTTTAATTTGCTTTAATTTAAAGCAATTTATAGGTCATTTGTATGGGTCTGTTTGAGGCACCTGTTTATCGTGAAATGGGTGATAAGCACTTCACACTTCAGTGTGGTTGGGTTTGATAATGCAAAGTGGTGGAAAAATGTTCAGACCACTTACTGGTTTTGTATTTGTATAAATACACCATGTAGGATTCAGACTAAACATTTAGCATTGAATGTAAAAACTTCAAGGCTAGAGTGACGTTATAAATAATAGTGAGAAGAAAACCATTAAAATATTAAGACATAGTTTAATAAATGGGCAGTGACCTTACGTGTATATTATGTTGTGAACCACATCTAATAAAGTCCAACTGCAGGAAACATTCTAGGAACTCTGAGGGCCTTGGGCCAAACATCTCCATGGGGCCCTGCAACTTATACCATGGGGGCTGGGGGTAATTTACCACCATTATTTTAGCTTGAAGTCTAAATTAATATCAACAAAGATACTTTAGTAAATACAAGTCCAGCTGTTGTGCCAAAAAGTGACGGTCTGCCAGAAACTGATTACGATTCGCGGGAACGCGCACAGCCTGTTCAGGACACATCGCAGTTTCTGTGCGATTTAAGGCGGGTAATTTCCATATCAAATCGTCTTAAAGTGCAAAAAGTATACAGTACATGTATCCCTGAGCTAATAGTGAAGGTATGTCTTTGTCAGATTTAAGGGTTTGGTGAAATTTTAAATAAATAATTGCAATAAGAGTCAAAGGAAGCCATGTGGATCACTTATTAAATAAAGATAACTCTTCATCTTGCAGTCATATTAAAGAGTCAGTGGGTTTTTTCTGCTCTGTGCTGCAGTATCAACTATCCAGTCCTTTTAACCACTTTAAACACCTCTATAGGACCAGTATAACCAGCACAATGCAGTTTTCTTAATGCCAAAAAGTAATTACAGTCAATATCTTTTTACTGACAGACATTTTCTGCTTCAGTTTTTTTTTTATAGGTCTCTTATTAGATATATTCACAGGATTAGTAAACATATAACCCATTTTTAAAACAATTAAAATCAGGCAGAATGAGCCATTCAGTAATAAGGTATTGACTAATCACTTTTTGGCAATGGGTGAACTGCATTGTACTGGTTATACTGGTCCTATAGAGGTGTTTAAAGTGGTAAAAAGGACTGGATAGTTGATACTGCAGGACAGAGCAGGAAAAACCCACTGACTCTTTAATATGACTGCAAGATGAAGAATTGTCTTTATTTAATAAGTGATCCACATCGGTTGTGTAGTGAAACTCATTTAGACGTAGGAACATTTATAAACATATGTCTACATTAATGTGTCGCATTTGAACTTCCATGGCTTCATGACATAAGGTTAGTTTTACAACGCAGTTATGACCGAGGACTCATGCTTTGAAGCGTTTTACATGACAATGGCTTCCTTTGACTCTTATTGCAATTATTTATTTAAAATTTCACCAAACCCTTAAATCTGACAAAGACATACCTTCGCTATTAGCTCGGGGATACATGTACTGTATACTTTTTGCACTTTAAGACGATTTGATATGGAAATTACCCGCCTTAGTCGCACAAAAACTGCGATGCGTCCTGAACAAGCTGTGCGCGCTCCAGCGAATCGTAATCAGTTTCTGGCAGACCGTCACTTTTTGGCATAACAGCTGTTAACACGCCCCTGTGGCTGACTCCACCCGTCATGGTCCTTAAAAGTCGCTCCAAGCAGGACTCCCCTGCAGATCTTACCGGATGAAGGGTCAGTGAGGCGGTTTGAGCATGAGCATGAGGATGATGATGGTTGTGG